TTGCCCCCTGGGTGGGGGGGGTGCTGACAACCCCAAACCAAGGGTTTAGATCCCCTTTCCGGTCATTTTTAAAAAAAAAAAAAAAAAAAAAATACTGAGGAAATATGGACCAGCCCCTGGCTCACTTGGGAGAGCATGGTGCTGACAACACCAAGTCAAGGGTTAAGATCCCCTTACCAGTTAAAAAAAAAAAAACTGAAGAAATATAACAATCAAAGGAAATGCATGATCTTTTTTTGGTCCTATATCAGTAAAACCAGCTGTGGAAAAAAATTGGGGAAATTTGATCATAGATTGGATAGAAGATAATATTAAAAATAATTGATAATATTCTCAGGTGTGAAAATGATATTATAGTTATACAGGAGAATTCCTCAGTCTTAGGAGATATGTAATAAATTAAATATTTGGGCTGAAATATCATGATGTATGCAGCTTACTTCAAATATACACGCATACACACATGACAAATATTAATTCTTCAGTCCCTGAACTATTAGTTCTGCTTTTCTATGTGTTCGACATTTATTATAACAAAGAAATTGGAAATAATTTACAAAAAATATATATGTTTTCCAAAGAATTCCTTAGGCTAAATTAGAAGGCAAGCTACAAACTAGACAGAAGCACAACATAAATAACAGCAAGTTACCAACCTCAATATATTAAATATATAAAAAATTCCAATGGAATTTATTAAAAGCTCACGAAAGAAGACATAGCCAATAAATCTATTTTAAAATGGTCTGTCTCACTGGTAGTCAAAGAAACATAAATCAACACAATGACTATTTTCTTTATTTTTTTCACATCCAATCGTCTTTATTAATTTCTATTTTCTTTTTCGACAATCAAACTGATGGAGATTTTCTTTAAGGCTGGAGACCAGTTTGGGGGACATTGTGGAGAAAGAGGCATTCATGTACTACAGGTGAGACTATCAATTAATGCAATGTTTCTGGAAGGCAGTTTTTCTACTCACATCTTTGACCCAGCAATCTCACCTTTTGGAGTTTATCTTAAAGAAATAATAATAATTGTAATCTAAAGGCAAATATGTAGCAATGAGAATACTTAGCACAGCATTCTTTATAGTATCAAATAACTGGATACAATATGGAAGTTTAATAATGAGCATTGGTTACACAAACTGTGCTATTTATCTAGTGGATTACTATGAGACCATTGAAAATGAAGTTGCAAAATAATATATAAATGTGACAGTTAAAAGTATATATACAGCAGATAGACAGACATTATATACACATAATACACACATACAGCATATGTACTGGGCAATGACTTGAAAGAAATACTCCAAAAAAGATCACTCACAGTGATTTATCTTTAGATGATATCTGTATTTGAATCACAGATGAGTTTTTCTTTCCTCTTTGCTTGTCCATGTAATTGTGTGAACATATACTCCTTTTCATTCATAAGAAAAGGTGTTACACTATTTTAAAAGCAAAATAGCATCTGCAGTGAGTTTACTTCTCTTACCAGAATATGCAAAAACATGCCCACACACACACATACCACATACATGCACACATATGCACGCAAACACATATACGAAGGTACTTCAAAAAGTTCGTGGAAAGATTTGTATTATCTTTTAATTCTATTTTTCCTCAAACTTTTGAAAGTACCCACAGTCACTTGGTCTCTTGAACTCTTGGGAGGGTGTGGACAGGAGGAGGGGCTGCCCTCACCCAGCCCACTTCATCTCACCCTCCTAAGGATCAGGGTTCGAAGGTGACAGGAGAATTTCTGCAGGCTGGAGGGCAGCTGCCCAAGGTGCTGAGTCAGTCTCTGAGCAACACCCACACCAAAGAGGGCTGCACTCCTTTCCTGTCCTGAAGGAGATGGTCCCCTACGGTCAGGGGTTGGAAACGGAAGCTGGGCTTCTGGGAGAGGGTGGCAGAGCAGAGTCCAAGGGCACTGGTTTATGGCAACTCATAAAACTCCAGGTGGAGCCAGTGCCCTTGGGGGGCGAAGGGGGGGACAGGAAGAGCACTTGTGGCTGGCTGCTGGGGCCCTCTCTTAGCGAGGGTTATACTGAGTAGAAGAGACCTCTAGGGGTGCCAGTGTTTCATCTGTCCTGGGAGACCCAAATTTGAATCCCTGGCCCTGCATCCCCAGGTTTGGGTCTCCTAGAACCAAGGAGTTCCACCTCTCCTTCCCCATGAACCATTTCCCCCAGAGAGGAGGGTGGACAGGTGAGCCTCTTCCTCTTTGCTGGTTAGGAGGAAGGGTCCGGGTGCCCCTCAGCCTCCCTGGCTGGAGCTGTCCACCTGCAGTGAGAGCCTGGGCCCTGGGCAGAAACGCACCCCATCCCTCAGTGCTTGCTCAGGAGCCGAGGGTGGGGCGCATCAGCTCCGGCTGTCAGGCTGTCGCTGGGCACCGGGCTCACAGGGACCTGGCAGGCACCTGTCTCCCCACCCCCTTGCCCATTCTCTCTCTCTCTGGGGCCCTATCTTCCCTTATATGGTGAAGGCAGTTCCTAGAGGGGGGGCTGGTGGTGAGGACAAAGGTCGCTCTTTGGCAGCTCGCTGGCCACAACTCCCCAAGATCTCCCAGGTGGCAGCCGCCTCCCCTAGACAGGTAAGGCGACCCAGTGGGGACCCATGGGGACCATAGGTGGTGGGAGGGGGCAGGGTCCCCTGACTCTTGCTGGCAGCCCGGGGCCTCCTGTAGCATCTTGGTGAGGGCTTGGGGGAGAGGCTTGGCACTCAGAGTCTGGGAAGAGCAAGGAGGCTGGTGTGTCTGCACTAGGCCTCCACGCAAGGCATTTTGCAGGCCCCACCCTGGACAATCGCTCCTTCAGTCTCTCCACCTGTGACTCGCCCCCACTCCACTTCGGGGGTCAACCATCCCCTACTCCCTGGACTGAGGAGGATCCTGGGACACAGAACTTGTAGAGTTAAAACCGAGATAGTCCTGGGCGAACTGGAACTAGTTGACCTCACTCCGCCTGCCCTCTCCCCAACCCCCAGCCCATCTCTGCCCATTTCTTCCTCATCCAAAATGGTTTCTTTCTTTGTATCTTGGGGCCTCACCTCCTGGGTCCTAGGGTATGAGTGACAGCCATAAGAAACTGAATGGTAAAGACAGTGGCAGGGACAGAGGCAGGGCTCGGGTCCTGGTCCACACCCGAACCCCCTAGCATGCACTTCTGCGTCACCTCCACCAGCACCTGCCCCTCGGCCTCCCCAGCCACTGTGTCCCCGTTCAGCTGAAGTTGCAGTGGGAGCCAAGTCCAGACCAGGGTCTGGGGACATGCTGGCCATTGTCTTCTCAGGAAAGCATTTGCTCAGGCATCCTCCAGGGCTGGAGGGGCTGGGTGGGTGTCCACTCCCTGTGCCATTACAGGCCAGGGGGTGCAGGAGGGTGTCCTTTGTCTGAAGGGAGGGACCTCACCTCCACTGCCTCACCACTGCCCCACCATCCAGCTCAGAGCTGCGGTGACTGGGAACTGCTCCCGGGACAACAGGGAGCAGATAAGAAAGGTGAGAAGAGACCTGGGAGAGCAGGAGCCCTAACCCCCTCCAGGGCCCTGAGAAGGTCCTTATGCCACTCCACAGTTCAGTCTGTTGGCCTCATGAGTATTTGTGGAGCACCCACTATATGCTAGGAGCTGGGGCTACAATGACAAACATGTCTAGGTTTTGGAGCTCAGGGACCTCAGATTTACAAACAGGTTCTTCCATTGCCATGTGGTTAGGGGGCCAAGAGAGGCCTCTGTCTGTGATGCCCTGGGGCCCCCGAGGAGGGGCCCCTCGTCCAGCCTGAGGATTCTGGGAAGGTATCCTGGAGGAAAGGAGACCTAAACTGAGTCCAGAGGGCAGATAAGTGTTAGGCAACTGAATCAGGCGGGAAGGGCATTCTTGCTAGGGCAGGCACAGGTGAGAGGCCGCATGGGAGGCCAGGCCAGCCAGCAGTCTGGCATTTCTAGAAGGCATGGTGCCAGCAGAGAGGCAGGAGTGTGTCAGTGCAGGGAGAGACTCAAGAGAGCTTAGACAGAAAGAAGGGCAGGAGAGAGGGGGAGTCCAGGATGTTGCCCAGAGGGCTGACTTTGGGGTTTTGGGGTGATGGTGCCCTTCCCCAGTCTGGGGACGTGGGAGGGAGGGGACCAGGAATTTAAGTTGAGGCAGAAGACAGCACCTATCTAAACCAAGGTCCATGCTGGCAGGGGCTAGGAAGGGGAGGGGTCCATAGTCCTCTCAGCAGTTTAGGGGAGACAGGAGAACTGAGAAGTCCCCACTGAGGGGTGGGGGACAAATGTCTGACCAACATGGGTTGGGGGCAGGAGCAGCTGGAGGATATCCATGGGGTGGGGCAGGCCCCCTCTTAGAGCCACTCCTCCTCAGACTCCCCTAGCCCACCCTTGGCCCTAAGGAGGCTGGCTCCCACCTTGTTTAGGCTGCTGCAGGCCCCCAATCCTGATTTCTCTCTAGGGAGGGAGAGTGAACCCTGAATCCCCTCTCTGACGGGCAAGAAGTGCTTCCTCATGTCTGCCGTCGATTCCTCTTGCTGCTGGTTCACTCCTAGAATCAGAGTACGTCCCTCGGTGGAACTTTAGAGATCATCTATCTAGTCAACCCCCACAGCTCATAGATGGAGAATGGGGGTCTGCATTTGTACAGCTAGTGAGTGTCAAAGAATCTGTCTTGGAGAAAGGGGGATGGAGACAAAGGTGGTGATTGAATGAAACAGAATATTCTCCTCCTTTGTACCCACATTGGTTCTGGTGAACCAGGAGTCCTGGAGCCCAGGGGACGCTGTGGATTGGAAAATACCTGATGGAGGAGGCTATGGCCAACAGGGTCATCAGACAGGCTCCAGGCACAAGGGGCTCCTACCAACACACAGCAAGCTGCTAAATGATCAGCAAGTGGCACCGATCAGAGGTAGAGCAGGGCCTTGTCTCCAGTTTCCAGAGTGCCAAGGAGAGCAGCCACCCCTCAGGGCTCAGAAAAGGGAGTTGCCAAGCAGTAAAAGCCCAGGTCATTAATTATTCAAAGAGGTGACTCAGAGTCAAGGTGCAAGGAGAGATTAGATAGAAAGATTTCAGCTGTCAGAGCATGGAGGCCTGATCTGTGGGGGCCACATGACCTCTCATTCATTATTTATCAGTTCAAGGAGCATTGATGGGGGGCCACTCATGGAGAACGGGGTGGCCTCCAGCCAGGTGGGGAGGGTTTGCGAAATCAGGGACGAAAATAACTGGGGACAAGTGCCTCTCCATCCTAGCTCATATCAGAATCACTGGGGTGTTTTCAAAGCACCCATGCCCCATTTCCCAAAAGGCAGAAAATGAAATACCAGTGCTGTGCCTGTCCGGGCCTAATTAAATCAGAATCCCTGGGGATGAGGCCTGAGCATGGGAGCATCAGTATTTTTAAGTCTCGCAGGTGATTCTGATGAGCAGCTGCAGTGGAGAATACAGCTACAGGTCAAACAGAAAGAGGAGCTTGGGAGGGAGATTTCTTCCAGCTCAGTGGGTGGAGCGTGGTTCACAGCGGGAGGGTTCACTCATTAATGGTTCATTCATTCCTCCCTCCCTCATTGTCTCATTCCTTCCCTTCCTCCACTCATTCATCCTGCAAAGTGCTGGCACTGTGCTAGACACTGGGCATTCAGTACCAAACGAGCAGAAATAATCCCCACCCTTGTAGGGTCTACATTTTGTACACCACCAGCACAGTGACAGAGGGGTGTTTAGGAGTAGCTGGGAAGGAACAGGAAATTGTTGCACACACTTTTATTATGGCAAAATACACATAAGATTTACCTTTGAGTTCATTTTAAAGCATACAATTCCACGGCATTCGGTACATTCACAAAGTTGTGCAACCATCACCACTATCTAGTTCCAGAACCTTTTCATCATCCCAAGTGGAAACTTTAAATCCATTAGCAGCCACTCCTCATACCCCTTCCCCCAGCCTCTGACAACCACTCATCTGCTTTTTCTCTCTACAAATTTGCCTATTTGAGATATTTCCTATAAATGGAGACATAACATAACGTGGCCTTTTGTGCCTGGCTTCTTTCACTCAGCGTCATGCGTTCAAGGTTCATCTACGTTGTAGCATTTAGCAGTACCTCATTCCTTTCTATGGCTGAATAATATTCCACTGGTCATCCATGCATCTGTTGACCGACATTTGGGTTGTCTCCACCTTTTGGCTATTGTGAATAGAGCTGCAATCAACTTCAGGTGCAAGTTTTTTTTGGCACACCTGTTCTTGATTCTTTTGGGTAGATACACTTTCAAGCCTTTATTCTTTTCAATTTTTTTAAAAACTCTGCATGATTTTTTTTAGCCAAGCATGACTTTAATAAAAAGTTTTCAGAAAGAAAAATCGCTTGGGTCAAGATAAAAAAGGGCCTTGAATGCCAGGCTAAGGAGTGGGGGCTTTCCTCAGCAGGTGATAGGGAGTCAGGGTGGGAAGGCTGGGGGCTGGGTCCTCGGCCATCAGGACCCAGAGTGGGAGCCATGCCCCTTCCTTCCCCCAGGCCCCTGAGCCTGCCTCCTCCTGGCACATTAGGGTGCCCTTAGAACCCGGCTAGAAGGGCACTCCTAGCTCCTTGGCCCTTGCTGCCAGGCACCTTCTCCCCTAGGCTCATCCACCATGACCAATCTGAGCACCCAAGTTAAAGGCTCTCTCAACATCACCACCCCGGGGCTGCAGATATGGAGGATCGAGGTGAGGCCCTGCTGGGACGTGGGGGTGGGGGGCTCACAGGCCTGGGATGGAGGGAGCGAGTCAGAAGCCTGGGATTGTCCTCATCTTCCTCCAGTCCTGCCCTGCTGGCTGCCTGGAGCACTTGATGCCACCCACCTGCTGGTCCCACCCCTCAGCCCTGCTCCTCCCTCTCCTCTTCCCTTTCCCCGTTTCTTCCCCATCTGTCTTTCAACCTTCCTCTGCCCAGTGTCTCTTCCTTTCCCTCCCTCTGCCCCCCATGCAGATGCTCCTTCTTCCATCTCCCTTTTCTCTCCTTTCCATCCTGGGCCCGGCTCTTTCTCTCCCTCCCCTCCTCACACTTCTCAGCTTCCTCACGTCCTCCTCCTCCTCCCAGGCCTCGGGGGTCCTGGCTGGTCCGGGGCAGCCCCTCTGACCTCTTTTCTCTCCTTAGGCCATGCAGATGGTGCCTGTTCCTTCCAGCACATTTGGGAACTTCTTTGATGGTGACTGCTACGTAGTCCTGGCTGTGAGTGGGAGGTGGGACAGGGAGGGGGCTGAGCAGAGTGCAAAGCCACTGTGGTGACAGGGAGGAACTAAGGCTGGGGGCAGTGGGGAGAGCTAGCCTGGCTTTGCCCAAGACAGTGTTCGCTGGGTATGCCCAGGTGTCCAGCCTCGTGGTGTTCTACAGAGACGTAATGTAAGAGGCTCTCCCTGCCCTTGAGCGCTGAGCTGCCAGCCAAGGCAACCTTCTGTGGATTTGCAGTCTTGGGAGACCTTCTAAGCTAGTGTGATGTCATCCTAACGAGTCCACATTTCCAAAATCCATAGTCACCTTCACATCACCTTCTTGATTTTCAGAACACTCTGGTACCACTGGTACTGTTAAGGCATTTGTATTTTTCTTTATATTGACTCACTTTTGAATTTTAAATACATTTAACAATGTAACTCACATCATTACTGTAAATGGAAAGCAGCATCATGTGTAACAAATAGAGAGTAGCTGTAAAGTATTTGGATAATCATTTCATATCATACATTTGTTTGTACACCACCTAATCACCTCACAGGTCTCTGGTGGTCCACACACATTGCTTTGGGACATGCTCCTATACAGTCCAACCAATGTCTCCACGAGGCCGAGATGAGGCGAGCAGGGCCCTTGGGGAGGCCACTTGTCCATGTCTCAGAGAGTCAGTGGCAGAGCTGGGCCACGCCTCAGGGACCCTGATGGCCAGCCCAGTGCCAAGCTCACCTGGGGTCTAGGACCCATGTGTGTGGGAGACCATGCAGAGCAGGGGGAGGTGGGCAGGGGACTGTGGGAGCCCAAGGCCTTGGATACACAGGACGTCCCCTCTCCCTAGATCCACAAGACGGGCAGCAACTTGTCCTATGACATCCACTACTGGATTGGCCAGGCCTCATCCCAGGATGAGCAGGGGGCAGCTGCCATCTACACCACGCAGATGGATGACTTCCTGAAGGGCCGGGCTGTCCAGCACCGTGAGGTCCAGGGCAATGAGAGCGAGACCTTCCGAGGCTACTTCAAGCAGGGCCTTGTGTAGGGAGGGGCGTGCTGCTGGCTCGGGGAGAGGCAGAATGGGGATCAGAGGTGGGGATGGGAGGATTAAGCCTGAGATGAAGAGGCAGGGATTCCCAGACCTGCCGTGGGGGAGAAGATCCTGGGCAGTGGAGGGTGACCTGGGGCCAGGAAGGGAGTGTGAAGCTGTGGGGGAGCACAGGGGACCCTCAAGGGCTTTTGGTGATTTTTTTCTTTACCTTTCTAGTCCCCCCACCCTTATTTCTGCCACCGCCCTGTCCTTGGTCCTGTCCCTGTGAGTATGCCTTGGGCTGTCTCCAGAGGTCATTCTGAAATTCTCTAACTCTACTGAATTTCTGTAAACCAGCTTCTGTTTGTGAGTCCTGGAGAGCTCAGTGCCTAAGGAGTCCCTTGGGGTATCACATGAAGCCCCCCTACTCTGGCCACTGGGCAAATGGCTGCTCCCTCTTCTCTAAAGCAAGCCTTTCACACTAAAACCCCAGACTGCCAGCTTTTCTAAAAAAGTCTGAAGTTCTGGTCTCCTGGCCTTCCTCATGGAAACATACACTCTGGAGTGGAGTTGCTGCTGACCTGTAGGACAGGCCAGGAGCTCTTCAGTTAGCCATAATCCCCACCCCTCCCTATTGTTTTGCTCCCCTCTTCCCACAGTACAGCTGCAGTTCACTCCTGTGGGCATTTGAACACCACCTCTCCCTGCTTTTCCTCTACTTCAATCCCCTGCTTTCTGGGTCCTGACCTTATTCACATTTCCTACCTTCCACGTACCATGCCCCCATCTTTGCAGTCCCCTCTGCAGGGCAGGGACTTGGGTGAGGTGAGTGAACATCTAGGGTGCAGACTTTAAGCAGACTCTCCTGTCAGGGTCATGCAAAGGCAACTTTGCACTTGCAGGAGCCTGACAGTAAGTGCCTCCTTAAAGCCTGCACTTTAAGTGCCTCAATCACCTGGCCTAGTCTGAACCTGGACCTCAGATGGACCAGCAGCAGCCAGGCAGCCCAGGGCATGGGAGGGGAGGGGCCTGGCACACCTCCCAGCCCACTCCCTGGGTCAGCTCACCTCCCTTCTCAGGATCCAGAAAGGAGGTGTGGCTTCCGGCATGAAACGGGTGGAGACCAACTCCTATGACATCCAGCGGCTGCTGCACGTCAAGGGCAAGAGGAATGTCGTGGCCGGAGAGGTGGGCCGGCCCCTCTGGGACATTGGCCAAGGCTTTGAGGCCCAGGGTGGAGGTCAGGGGCTGAGGAGGAGTGAGGGGCAGAGAGGGGTGACCAAGAGGTGTTGGGTTCTGAGACGGTCTGTTCCTCTCTTGTGGCTCCCTAGGTGGAGATGTCTTGGGATAGTTTCAACCTAGGGGATGTTTTCCTCCTGGACCTCGGGAAGCTTATCATCCAGTGGAATGGGCCAGAGAGTAACCGCATGGAGAGACTCAGGGTAAACCTGCCCACGTGTCACCCCTCCCCGCAAAGCCCAGCCTGCCCGCACTGCTCCTGCAGTCCCAGCACCTGCCCCTCCCTCCTACCTCGTTCCCGTTCCCCCAGGCCTCTCTTTCCAGACTATGGGGGATGGTGGGCTTGAAGGTGGATCCAAGTCTCCATGTGTATGGGAAAGGTATGCCTCTTGGAGTTGTGAGTGTATACTTGTGGCTAATCTGCTAGGATGGACTGAGTCCCTGCGGTGTGCAGACCCCAGGCCAAGCCTTGGGGATCCAGTGGTGTATGAAATGGGCAGAACCCTCCCTTGCTCTGGCCTCTAGCTAGCCACCCAGTGGGGGAGACAGACATGCAGAGAATAACAGAGCTGTGGGCTCAGGGAAGCCTTCTGGGACTTGGCGTGGGTGGGGAGGAAAAGGCACTGAGGAGCTTGGCGAGCAGCGCAGGCAGGTTTCATGGGTCATGTGGCCAAAAGGCTGTGTAAGAGGGTCGGGGGTTTTATTCTCAGGGTGCTGGGAGGCTGATGAAGGTCATTCTGACTTCTGAGTGGAGATGGGGCAGGGAGGCAGGGAGCCCCTGTGGCCATCCAGGGGAAGCAGAGGTCCCTTGAGGAGCCCAGGCTCAGCCTTGGACAGTGGAACCCACTGGACTTCTTGTGTGTTGGCTGAGTGAGGGTTGAAGGGAGAGAGGAATGAAGCAAAACTCAAACCATGGGAATGGGTGGAGTCCCGCTTCCTGAGATGGGAAGGATGGGAAGCTACAGATCCTTGACCTTGGTGTTATAACACTGTGCTCTAATTGGCCAGTCTTCGTTTTAGATATCTTAAAATGGGGCTGTCTTCTTGGCAGTTGGATATATGAGAGCAGAGAGCTGGGCTGGGGACAGAAACATGGACATCAGCAGTCTACAAAGGTTTTGGGACTCAGAGAGATGCCCGGGGAGGGAGTGTGCAGAGAGGGGGCCAGGATTAACATTAATCCAGGATGCGCTGAGAAGGGTGAACTGCAGTGTGTGCAAGTGTGTGTGTGAGTGTGAGCACGTGAGAGACTGTGCTGCCTGGGCGTGTGCTTGTTTGTGCATATGTGAGTAAGCACATGTGAGGCTGCACGTGTGTGTCTGTGAGTGTGCAAGCATGCTTTGGGGCAGAGACACTGAATCCTGGGATGCTTGGGGCTCAGCTCTTACCCCAAACTGTAAAGTCAAACCACAGATTTCAGTGTCAAACCTGAAGGCCCAGCAAATCCACCCCAGACACTCTCCTGCCAATAAGGAAACCTGCTATCCCAACTGCTTCTCACCTGGTTTCATCACACACCCCTAGAAAGCCTGGCCCCTTCCGTGGGAAAAGCAGGGCAGTGCCTCAGCCCCTGAGGCTACTGTGGGGTGGACTGGGGCTCGCCTAGCAGGGTTTGGGATGGCAGACACTGCCTTGTCCCTGCCAGCCTTCATGGGTCACGTGGGGCCTTCCTGTAGGGCATGACCCTGGCCAAGGAGATTCGAGACCAGGAGCGGGGCGGGCGCACCTATGTGGGCGTGGTGGATGGGGAGAAGGAGTCAGAGTCCCCGCAGCTGATGCAGGTGATGTACCATGTGCTGGGCCAGCGCAGGGAGCTGAAGGCAGCCATACCTGACTCAGTGGTGGAGCCGGCACTCAAGGCCGCCCTCAAGTTGTACCAGTGAGTGCCAGCTGTGGTCTTCCTGGGAGCTGGGGTCTTTCTGGGGGCAGGGCACCCTGGCTAGGGAGTGCTTCTCATCTGTGTCTTGACTTTGTCCCACAGTGTGTCTGACTTGGAGGGAAAACTCTTGGTTAGGGAAGTCGCCACACGGCCACTCACACAGGACCTGCTCAGTCATGAGGTGAGAGGTCTGAGGGTCTCCAGCCCACTGCAGCCTGGCCCACCTCCCTCCCCCCAACCCCCCGCCAAACAGGAGGAACTATAGGATGCTGGGGTGGGCGTGCCTGAAGCTGCCCCAGCCTGGTACCCCTGGCACCACCAGGCTCTCACCTGGATCTTTCTTTAATACTCTAGGACTGTTACATCCTGGACCAGGGGAGCTTGAGGATCTATGTGTGGAGGGGGAAGAATGCCAATGAACAGGAGAAGAAAGGAGCCATGAGCCAGGCCCTGGTAGGGATGCGGGTCAGAGAGGAGGGTCAGGGCCATGAGAGGGAGAGAAGCAGACAGCAGAGGGGTGGGGGCAGGCAGACTCAGACAGGGCATAGCGCCAGGCTGAGGCCAGGGAGGGTTCTGGCCGGGGCTGGGTAGGGGCAGATCCCAGTCCAGCCCAGCTGTGAGGGTCTGAGGAGCCGTTCTATAGATATCTTGGAGGTTCTCTACACACCAGGTGGCCAACCACCAGGCAAGCCTGGGGCCTCCTTGGGATGTGGGCTCTCACCTCCCTGCACTCAAGCTTGGTTTAAAGAAGGGAAGGAGAAATGGAGTTGGCCTTTCTACAAAAGGGAATAAGCCAAGTAGAGTTTGGGGTCATTGTTGGGGCTGGAGTCAGTAACCCTAACTGACCTTGAGGTTGGGGTCAGAGTAGGGTTAGGTTTAGGATATTGGGATTGGGGTTGGGTTCAGGTCTGGGACCAGGGGTAGGTTTGACAGTGGATCAGGTTGGGGTCAGAACCAGTCTTCGGCTTGCATTGGGGGTGGATGCTGGGATAGGGACATAACCATCAGCCATCCTCTTCTCTTCCCAGAACTTTATCAAAGCCAAGCAGTACTCACCGAGCACACAGGTGGAGGTGCAGAATGATGGGGCCGAGTCAGCTGTCTTTCAGCAGCTCTTCCAGAAGTGGACAGTGCCCAACCAGACCTCAGGCCTGGGCAAAACACACACTGTGGGCTCCGTGGGTGAGGGCCAGGCCGGGGCAGTGAGGGAGCTGGGCTGGGAGCACGACTTGGTCTGTCTCAAACCCTTCTTCCCTGACTTCCTCTTTCAGGAACTTTTACCCTGGCTCTGGGTTACCCTGGTGGGGTGGAGACATGAGGGAACATGGATAAATTCAAGGGTGGTCACAAAAAGGGAGCTGAGAATGACCTGCCTTTCATTTGGAATAGGGCTGGGTCTCCTTGGGAACTGAATGGCTTCGGTCTGTCTCCAGACAATATTTGCTGAGGGCAAGCTTGGTGCCGGGCACCTGGGTGGAAAGTAAGATAATGTTCAGCCGCATTGCAGAGCTCCCTGTTGAGCCGGAAGACAAGGTTGATGCTTAAAGTCTGAATACTGCAGGGGGTCAGGACAGGGTAGATCCACAAAGCTAGTGCCTCACTCTTGTTCATCTCCCGGCTTCCCTGAGAGGCACTGGTGAAGCAGGAGTCTTAGGACAGGAAGATATGATTCTGTATTACAGCTCTGCCACTTTCTGTCTGTGCCACCTTGGGCATGCTACTGAATCCCTCTGGCTTCAGTTTCCTCATCTATAAAGTATGACTCAGAGTTGTAGCCACCATTCAGGGCTATTATGAGGACCTGTGGGACCTCAGCTGGTGACAGTTTGTGTCGTGATTCTCCCCACTGCAGCCAAGGTGGAGCAGGTAAAGTTTGATGCCACGTCCATGCATGTCCAGCCTCAGGTGGCTGCCCAGCAGAAGATGGTTGACGACGGGAGTGGGGAGGTGCAGGTATGTGAGGGGAGGGAGGCCTGCACCAGGTATGGAAGGAATGGTGGAGTCCATCCTGGACCTCACACTGGCCTGATACCGGCCCCAGGTGTGGCGCATTGAGAACCTTGAGCTGGTGCCTGTGGATTCCAAGTGGCTAGGCCACTTCTACGGGGGCGACTGCTACCTGCTGCTCTACACCTACCTCATCGGCGAGAAGCAGCACTACCTGCTCTACATCTGGCAGGTCAGGCCCGCCCCATCCCACCCAGAGCACAGCCAGCTCAGCTCCCCCTTGCACCATACTCCTGCCAAGTGGCCATCTCCCTTGATTTTTAATATCTGGGGATGGGGAACTCACTCCTTCAAAAGGCAGCCTGTTCCATCTTGGGACTGCTTTGGCTGTGAGATCCCCCTGAGTACCCCCATTCACAATACTTTTCCTTTTGGGTCTCCAAGTGTCCCTTCCAATTTCTATTACCTTCTGCACATTCTCTCCTCTGCTCTGTCCAGCTCTGCCTGTGGGTTTCTGTGTCCAGGTGTGAGGGAGCAGGGAAACACTTGCGTGTGGGGTGAGTGGTGAGGTGCAGCAGTAAGGAGAGGAGGTTCAGATCAAGGCTGAGGTTGCAGATGGGTCAGGGGTGGGCTGGATTAGTGTTGGGGCTGGGGTCAGAATTGAAGTCTGGGTCAGGTTGGGTTTTTGGCTGTGTCCAGGGTAAGGCTTGTTGGGGAAGACAGTTGGGTTTGGGGCTAGGTGAGAACTGGGGATGAAGTTGTCACCGAGACTGAGGATAGGGTCAGTCCCCAGTTCTGACCCCACCCCACCCCACCTCTTTCCTACTGCTTTTCCCCAGGGCAGCCAGGCCAGCCAGGATGAAATCACAGCCTCAGCCTATCAAGCTGTCATCCTGGACCGGAAGTACAATGATGAGCTGGTCCAGATCCGGGTCCCGATGGGCAGGGAGCCACCTCACCTCTTATCCATCTTCAAGGGACAGATGGTGGTCTACCAGGTGCGGCTGCTGGACTGAGGAGCCTGGTAGTCCCCACTGAGGTGGGGTGGGCGTCCAGGAGATGGGGAAGGAGCCGTGGGGGTAAGGTAGGGCTCAGGGCGAAGCCCATTTTTCACAGGAGAAGACTGTTTGGGGCTCCATCACCTATGAGGAACTGGTCATAGAAATCACTATTTGGTCACTTTAGAAACTGATGTTGGAGGGGCCGGCCCGTGGCTCACTTAGGAGAGTGTGGCACTAATAACACCAAGGCCGCAGGTTCGGATCCCTATATAGGGATGGCTGGTTAGCTCACTTGGGAGAGGGTGGTGCTGATAAAACCAAGGTCAAGGGTTAGGATCCCCATAGTAGCCAGCTGCCAAAAAAGAAGAAACACATGTATTGAGTACTTGCCATGTGCAAGTACTGCCTACCCTCCACACCCCAACTCCTTAAATCCTCTACATGAAAAAGGGAGTTATTTTGGTGAGATTTGCTAGAATGATGCACCTGTTCAGATTGCATTGGTGTCTTCTAAACATAATGAAATAGACATCTCATGCAATTATTTAAGGAATAATCTGCACAGTCCTCTGTAATTCCCCAAGCAAGGAGAAGAATGGCATGCTAATATGGTTTACCATCTTGTTGGGAAAGGAAAGTCATGTCATCATGCCTGAGCAGTGAACTAACAGTCTGAGGCACCAATTGGTTAAATGCCAGAAATAAAAATTTCTGAAAGCACAATCACCTGGGCTTACCTATAGAGTTCATGGTAGAAAGGTGATTTCGAGGAGGTCTCGCCTTTTGGGTCAGAGTTGAAGGGCTTAGCAGAGGTAAAATGAGTGCATGTAATGCAGGGGGCACAGCAAGGAGAAAGGCCCAGGGTAGAGGATCAGGGGAATAGCGAGAAGCCTCACCAAGCTACACTGGTGGGTTTGGAGAGGGCAGTGCATAAGTCTGCAAAAACAGGTTGCATCTTCATCATGTGGGTCTTTCAAAGGCCTGGCTGAGGGCCAGCTGCACAGTCTTACAACACCAAGGTCATGGGTTCAGATCCCCATACCAGCCAGCCACCAAAAAAAAAAAAAAAAAAAAAAAAAAGTCTTATCCGAGGAGCTGGGTTTTAGCCTACAAGCAGTGGGGAGCAACTGACAGGTTTTGAGCAGAGGAGTGCCATAATGAAAGCAATATTTTGGAAAGATTACGCTGGTGGTGGTGCATCAGAGGAACCAGGGGGTGGGGTGGGGCAGACACCACTCCAACCCTCTCCCACCCTGGTTCTCTGTCTGCCTCTCTATTCCCACACTGTCTTTACTGAGTTATTCCTGCCCCTCTCTCCCTGCCTTCTCTCCACACCTGCAGGGAGGCACCTCCCGAGCTAACAACATGGAGCCTATGCCTTCCACACAGCTGTTCCAGGTCCGGGGAACCAGTGCCAACAACACTAAAGCCTTTGAGGTCCCAGCCCGGGCCACCTTTCTCAACTCCAATGACGTCTTCATCCTCAAGACCCAGTCCTGCTGCTACCTGTGGTGTGGAAAGGTGTGTGCAAGACCTAGAGACCTCCCCATCCCCAAGTGGGTCCCGGGAGGCCCCCATCCTCAGGCGGGAGCCCTTAGCCAACTAGGTCTTGTTCTCTTGGTTCTCAGCTGCCTCTGTAGTAGTCTCTGCCCTCCTCTGTAGCCCTGGGTCTGTCTTTCTGCCCTATCTCTGACCTACCTCAGATTCTCTGCCTCTATGTCTGAATCAGTGTTTCTCATTCTGCTTATATCTGGCCACCCCTGTCTGTCCCAATGCTGGTCTGTCTTTATGTCTTGGGCTCTCTCTCACTACCCTGTGCCTGTCACTGCCTCTGCCTTTGTAATGAGGACTCTCAGCTTCTCAGAGTCCTTTCCCACCCTCTAAGGGGTGGGGAAGACTCCCTTTTCTCCTCTGCTATTTGTTGGGGTGTCAAGGACAAAGAACAGGATAGGAGAACTGTCCCTGCATGGGCTGTGTGCAGGGAATACTGGTCCAGGAGAGCCCTCTCAGGCCCTGGAGATTTGGGTGGTGAACGCAGTACAAGGGTGGGGGCAGGGGTGGCACCAGAGATGGTCTCGTCCCGAATGGCCTACTTCCCTTTTTTCCAGGGCTGCAGTGGGGATGAGAGGGAGATGGCCAAGATGGTTGCAGACATCATCTCCCGGACAGAGAAACAAGTGGTGGTGGAAGGGCAGGAGCCAGCCAACTTCTGGATGGCCTTGGGTGGGAAGGCCCCCTATGCCAACACCAAGAGGTAACTATTGGGTTCCTCTGCCTCCTGCTCACCTCCTGAGGCTGGAGAGCCTCCCAGCACCTCCACCCCCATAGCCAAAGCCTACAGCAGGCATGGATTGAGGACTCCATGTACCAGGCCCCCAGGTCTAGAAGGTACCCTTGGAGCCTCTTGGGCACAGGGGCTGTGTCTGTGCTTCTCACTATGGTATTCCCAGGGCCTGGTAGGGTGTTGCCTGGCAAAGGGAATTCATAGCTGCAAGAGAGGCGCAGGGCTATATGTTTGCCCTTCAGGATGAAGGTGCCAGAGCCCAGTCCCTGTGCTTAGGTGCTGATAAAAGCCTAGAATGCTGAGGTGCACCAGCTGTAAACCCTCTTTCAAATTTTTTTCTAAAGAATATCCATGATCCACTGTTCCCCAGTTCAAAAGCAAAAGGGCATATACTGCAGTAGCAGTAGGAGGGATAGAAAGAAGATATAAGAAAGAACTTTCTTTTTTTTTTTTTAAAGATGACTGGTAAGGGGATCTTTACCCTTGACTTGGTGTTGTCAGCACCACGCTCCCCAAGTGAGCTCCAGGCCAGCCCAGAAAGAACTTTCTAACAGGGCTATGGGAGAGCCACTGGACTATATATCCAGAAAAGCAGTGGGAATTTCTCCCTCAGAGTATTCAGGATGAGAGGAGACCCATTTGTATATCAGAAGACAAGACATTTTGTTAGGAGATGGCTTTTTATGTCAGAGTCCCTTCAAATTCTGTGTCCTCAATTCTTTCCCCACATCTTCCTCTTGCCAATGTGATCTTCTGCAGACTGCAGGAAGAAAACCTGGTCATCGCCCCCCGACTCTTTGAATGTTCCAACAAGACAGGGCGCTTCCTGGCCACAGAGATCCCCGACTTCATTCAGGATGACTTGGAAGAGGATGATGTGTTCCTGCTAGATGTCTGGGACCAGGTAGGACCAAGGTCCTGGGCGACTCCCTTCCCACCCATCTCACTCTCCAGGGCCAAGAAAGAGTGGCTTTAGGTCGAGGTAAGTGTCAATGTTTTCTTGGCCTCCATGTACTTTTCCCCTGGGAATGGCATTATGATAACCAGGAGCCTAGGAAAGAAACAGGAAGGTGGGAGAAATGTGCTTAGAGGGGCTGCTGGGCAGGATGGATTCTTCTCTCCTATTTATGTCAGTTGGCAGCAGGAGTGTTTTTGAGAATCTTGGGCTCTGAAGAGGGTGGGAGTCACACATTTGCAGAATATTCCAAGTAGAGGACAACTGTCCAACTTTCTCATTTCCCAGATGCAAAATCAAAGCCAGATGGGGCCTACCCAAGATCACGTGGCTGGGTAGTGCAGGGTCAGGACTCCACTGTTGACATCGAGGCAGAATTCTGTAGGCCAGGGAGGATAGGAGAGACTGATTGAGCTCATGGGACTCTTAACAGGTCTTCTTCTGGATTGGGAAGCACGCCAATGAGGAGGAGAAAAAGGCTGCAGCCATCACTGCGCAGGAATACCTCAAGACCCACCCTGGTGGGCGTGACCCTGAGACTCCCATCATTGTGGTGAAGCAGGGACATGAGCCTCCCACCTTCACAGGCTGGTTCCTGGCTTGGGACCCCTTCAAGTGGAGTGTGAGTGGCTCTAGCCCACCCTGGTCCTTATAGCCCTGTACATCCTTCCTTGCGTGGCTTCTTCATGACAGGGCTGACTCCCAGATGTCTTTCTGTTTCTTTGGGACATATGACCTGCTTATTTGTAAAGGGGTTAGAGGGGGCTTGGAATAAAAAATAAGGCTGCAGTAAGACCATTAAGGCCCCTGGTGAGGGAGAGGGAAGGAAGTCTGTCAAAAACCAAGGCTAATTACAGTGCCTTGTTTGTGGGCTATATTTAGCTCGAAGCAGCTGGATATTATAGGTAAGAGCTATACTATTTAAATTTAAATTAATTAAAATTAAACACAATTCATAATTCAGTTCCTCACTAGCCACGATTTTAGTGCTCAATAGACACATGTGGACACCACAGACAGAGAACATTCTCATCACCGCAGGACAGTGTTGGTAAATCCTCGGGGCCAGTTGAAACGCATCGCATCAGTTCTAAAGAACAGAAAAATGTCTTCCTGGCACTAAATTCCAAGCAAAATGGGTCATATATGAGGTCCTTGCCTGAAGGATGTGCATCCTAAACTGGCCCCGATAGAAGCAGAGGGCAGGTCCTTAGAATGGAAGCAGGTTTTCTGCAGGAAGGAGAAAAGCCAGGGTAGAGTGAAGCCTGGCTTAGTAGCTCTGGGTGCTCTAAATGGGCACAACAGTTGAGGATAAGGAAGCAGAAAGCTTAGAAGTATTAATTTCCTCAAGTTGTGGTTGTTTTTTAAATTCTGTGGTTGATGAGCTGTGTTTAGTCTTGAGAATGGATTCAAACTAATCTCAAGACAGCAAATCTAGATGCCAGATCTTTTCAAATTCACTTCAGTGCCCCGAGTCAACTCTGGCAGCCCTTCCCTCCCTCAGGTATGTGCTGCCTTCTCTCTCAACCCCATTTATTCATTCACTCACTCATTCATTATAACATCAGTGAGCTCCTGATGTGTCATGATCGGTGCCAGGTTCTGGGGCTATGGAGATGGGTCTCCTCAGGGAGCCATGGTCCCTTCTGCTCCCTTTACTCCTCTGTGGCAGTGCTCCCCTCCAGGCATGGGAGGAGCCCTCTCCAGTTTCCCAGGACCCCTGATTCCCCAGAGCCCACATAGAGCAGCAGGGTTTTTGATGCTGGGACAGATGAACAGTCAGCTCTGCCCTTTTCTGATCAGGCAGCACCTTTGCTCCCCATCCTTACTATCTAACCTCCTTTTTCAGGGACCCTCCTCCAACCTCAGCCTGAGCTTCCTCTTTCTCTTCTCCCCACCAGGCCTTAGACCAGACTTCTTTCAGCTCCTGAAGGAAAATGGCCTTTTGTCCTCTCCACTGAGACCCAGGTCTAATCTGTTACTTACTTTATATGCAGAACTCTAAATCCTATGAAGATCTGAAGGCGGAGCTTGTAAACTGTGAGGACTGGAGTCAGATCACTGCTGTGAGTACAGGTCAGCGTGGCTGGCCCTTGCAGTAGCCAGCTGGTGGTCAGAGCCATGGGAGCTGAGAATGTTCCAGAGAAGATGCCAGTGTCCTGTGCTTTCCTTCCCATTTCCCTTCACTTCTCATGGAAGTTCTTGCTGTTTAACTCCAATGCCTATAGCTGTTTTCTCTCTTCCATTTCCTAGTGAAAATGGTTCCCAAATTTTATCATGCATAGGAGTCCAGGTGATGGGATCCCTTCTCCAGGTAGAATAACTACAACTCCTTCTATCTTTCAATCAGTTAACAGAAATGTATTTAGCCTGTATGCTTAGGACAGGAGAATATGAAATCAAAGCCTTTTCTTCTAGAAGTTCACAGGCTTACAGGGGAAATAAGACAGAGCTAACACTGCAGAAATGTGTCCAGAACCCAACAGCAATTTCACAAGCTTATTGAGGTAATCAACAGATGACTCACATGGCTCCTCCAGCCACAATGGTTGAGAACCCCGTGGTGCTTGGTGAACTGACAGTGTAGACTGGCAAGTATAGATAGGTCAAGGCTAAGAGAATTCATGGATGACAATTTCATAACAGATAAGAGAGAGAGGGTTAAATATCCACGGTAGATCTTGAACTCTGGGGGAAGCCATGGAGAAGTTAGTAAGTTATTGAACAAAATAGTCATCTTGCACCAATTGACTTTGGTCAGATACAGATCGATAAACTATTATCTCATGGGTCTAGTCTAGAGCGTTGTGTCCTTATGAGGAGAGAGAGAGAGTGTGTGTGTGTTGGGGTGGGGGTGGGGGGACAGATCATGGAAGGCTTCTTGAAGGTGGTGCCCTAGAACCAATGTTGACTTCAGAGAGAAAGGTGGTCTGGAAGTAGCCACATACCTGTTGAAGTAGCCAGTGGTTTCCTTTTCTTTCCTAGGAGGCCACAAGCCCCAAAGTGGACGTGTTCAATGCTAACACCAACCTCAGTTCTGGGCCTCTGCCCATCTTCCCCCTGGAGGAGCTGGTGAACAAGCCTGTGGAGGAGCTCCCCCAGGGTGTGGACCCTAGCAGGAAGGAGGTGGGTCAGACTTTGGAAGGACAAAGAAGATATGGCTTGTCCATTTGTTGGACAACCCTAATTGACCCCCAGATTGTGCCCTGCAGGTGATAAGGTGCTGGGAATGCCCTGATGAACAAGACAGACCTAGTCCCACCTTCATGGCAGCTTATATCCTGGGGAGAGATTGGAGAAGCCTGATTACACTATTATTTAGTTTCAGTGATGATAAGTGATGCAAAGGTGAAATACAGGTGTCATGAAGAGTATTACAAAAAGGAGCTTGAGTTAGAGAAGATTTTGTTCTGAAAGGTGAATAGGAATTACTGAGGCAAAGTGAGTTAGTGCTGGCACAGGAACAGCAAACATGGAATCCAGAGGCAGGGAATAAGCACAGTGGGGCAAAACTGCAAGGTGGCCAAAGTGGCTGCTGTGTGAAGAGCTGCGAGAGGCAGCTGGCGAGGGAGGCAGGGACTGAACTGGGCAGCGCCTCTTACCCCACGTTAAGGGTTACGTTGTCCATCCTAAAACTGGAGGGGAGCCATTATGGTTGAAACATGGGAGTGACAGTCAGATTTACATTTTCAAAAGACCACTATAGCTGCTCAGTGAAGAATAGATTTGAAGGTTGCAAAAGCAGCCATAAAGAGACCAGTTAGAAGAGTGTTGCTGCTGCCAGGCTGAGAGGTAGGTGGGAGCCTAGGACAGGTGGTGGCTGAGGAAGTGGAGAGAAGACTTGGAGAAATATTTAGGAGGTGGAGTCAATGACACTTGGTAATTACTGGATAAAGAATGAAAGAGAAGAAATTGTGTCATTCTGTGAAATAGAAAACCCTGGGTGAGACAGGTTAGAGTGGGGCCAGCATGAATTTAGTGGTTGCCCTGTAGTTTGAGGCAACTGGGAGACATCCAGGTTTAGATACATGTTCGGTGGGCAGGCAATTCAGAGGAACACTGGGGCAGAGATCCGAATCCAAGACTCATCAGCACATGGTCCTTTGGTAACTGAAGTGGGGCGCCTATATGGATCACTTGGAGGGAGAGAGTACAGCAAGAAGAGCTTGTTTTTTTGTTTTTTCCTTTTTGTCTTTTTTCATGTCCGGCAATGGATCGCAACCCTCAGTGTTGCGCCCGTACCGGACCGGGACCAGCAACGGGATCGCAACCCTCGGCGTTGCACCCGCACCTCGCTCAGCCAGTGAGCGGGAACCGGTCTGTATGTGGGATCTGAACCCTCAGCGGGAGCGCCGCTGCACTCGCAAGCGGCGCACTGTAGCAGTGCGCCACCGGGCCGGCCCAAGAAGAGCTTGTTAAAAACACATTTGTAATATTCATTTCCACTTCATGAAGATCCACAATAGGCTAGCTTTGGGGTATTGAGAGGAGAGAAAATGTACTCTGTGTATAGTAATAAAGAAGTCTTACAAATTAAGGAATCTACAGAAGAGAGATACCTAACTTCTCCCAGAACATTGAAGTCTGTTAAGGGTTTGAGCTCTATATAAACGTATTGTTGCCAGAGCATTTCAATCCTGCCTTCTAGAGCAGGCATGGATTCTCTCCTAGATTCTCCCATTTGTGAGGTGGCTGGAAGGCTAGGAGGCAGCTGTGTCCTCACTGTAACATTGGTGTGATCCCAGTACAAGTGACAAGCTTAGCCCAGACCCTGGTACATAGAAAGTACTCTACAGTGAAAGCTGTTACCATCATCACCTGACCTACATCTGAGAAAAGTGAGGTCCAGAAGTGACTTGCTCAATGTTACTTAAGTAGCTGGTTGCAAAGCCAGAGCAAGAACCAGGTCTTCTGAATCCCACTGTTACCATCATATCATGTGGCATAAAGGGAAGGGCAGCCAATGTTATTGAAGCAGAGGACTGATAGGGGCTGAGGACTGCTAATTTTGAATGGAAGAGACAGAATCAAGACAACCCCAGAGTGGGGTTGAGAGCAGTGGGTTTCCTTTCATTAGGCTGCTTTGCTACAGAGGAATTGCCTAGGCAGAGAGCCTTGAATGGAACAGCTTCTTGGTAAACACCTGTAGATGAATTTCAAGCTCAGGTGGCTCTGATGCTCTAGTTCCGTAGTCTGTCATTCGATTGCCTCCCACACCTGGGCATTCTCTCCTCAAAGCTCCTGGGAGCTGGATGCTGGGAGCCATCCCCACTCACCCAGGCAGGGCAGCAGAGTGCCTTGTTCCAGAGGAAGAGAGTAAATATAAATGGTTTGAGCATCATTGGCTGGTGCAGAGCTGCCATACCCCAAGTCTGTTTATAGCATCCTCCTGCCAGGTACCTCCCATGGCTGTGGCGGCTGTGTCCTAGATCTCTGCAAGTGGCTCCACAGTGCTTTCTCTTGTCCAGTCAGTCTGATTCCTCAGGCTTATCAAGACTGCTAGACCCTGACCCCTCAGGCTAGATAGCAGAGATTGCCTATCCCAGTGGACTTATGTCTTCCCACTGGTCCTGTTCTTGAACCCTACAGCCCTGCCAGCTGATTACCAGCCTCACCCATCCCACATCCACCTTCCTGTGGTTTACTCATCAGTGCTCAAGCACTTAGATTACCCTTATGCTACTGCCTACAGCCAGACCCATCATCCCACTCCTGTTACTGGCTCACCTTCCCAATTTGGAGCATATAGGTCTGAAAACCTCACCTACCCTCCCCACTTGGCATTGAAGTCTCAGCTCTCCCGCAAGAATGTGCACTACACTTAACAACAACAAAATCAGCAACAGAAAACTGATCTTTAAAAAGAATCTAAGCCTTCTACTGCTTCTACCAGCACCGCACTCTCCCGAGTGCACCACGGGCTCGGCCCGACATTGCTTGTTTTTGCTCTTCATTTATGTGCTACATCTATATCAGATGCTGGGAAAGAATGTGACTTTTGCTCTCTGGTCTCTCTCTTCTAGGAGCACCTGTCCATTGAAGATTTCACCAAGGCCTTGGGGATGACTCCAGCTGCCTTCTCTGCCCTGCCTCGATGGAAGCAACAAAACCTCAAGAAAGAAAAAGGACTATTTTGAGAAGCAAGAGTGACTGTGGTTGTAAAGCAGAACCCTATTCTGCTTGTAGGGTTGTTTTGTTTTTATTACTGGTATTAGTCTTATGCCAATTGAAGTGAAATTTTAGTTATACCTGTGAGCAGCAGTCTGTTGGAATGCCACTTTTGTTTAGTAATCTGTTCAGAAAGACAATGCCACTACAAGGAGCCTGTGGTCCCAATTTGAGCTTCAGGAAGGTGGCTGGATTGCTTCTATTCAGGTGTTACTTCACTTTTAACCATCCTGTTCTAGAGCTTTCTCAGAAGAGAGCCAAACACTCCATGGAACATTAGAGTACTGAAACATCACCCCAGGTTTCTCTCTATTGTGACTCATTTTTATTTACAGCAGGTGGGCTGAAGCACTTTGCAGTTTTACATCTTTCCCAGAGCAATGGCTTTTCCTTTTCACGTACACTTTCCTCACTGCCTTACTCAGGAGGTAAGGTAAAGGAAACCCCTCTTTGAAGGAGAGGTGAATGGCCTAGGAGATTGCCCTCTTAGAAGGTTTCACAATCCTTATTAAATAGTACCCAGTGAGAGCAGCATATCCACTGGTCTAGGCTTGAGGTCTAAATTCAAGTATGAAATGCAAATTCTATTTCACTCTCACCCCCCAACTCTTAATACAGCAAAGGAAAAGCTTAGGTAAGGCCAATGCGAAGTTTACAAATTGTTATCCAGAAGCTTCTGCAAAGCTTCACAGCCTCCTCAGATGAAAACTACAGAAACTCGGTGGTGACTATGACCAAACATGGCTTTGCCATTCCATTTCCTTTAAGATGTAACAGCGCTGCATGGAAATCCAAGTCAGAAAGCCAACAGAAGGTGATTTCCACAACTTCAAACATCTGGTTATTAAAGGTGTCTGCAAGAATGTGTTCTTATCAGAAATAACAGTCAAACAAACAGAAGGTTAATAAAGGCTTTAATTTCACACACACACAAAAAAAACTATGCATAATTTAAAAAGGAAACAAGGAAAAACAGTAAAGGACACAGAGGAATAGTTCTGCTAAAACACAGATAAAGTGCCGCTCCATACAAAACAACAAAGAATCGGAATCAAGTAACTCTGAACACACAAAAAAAATCACCTCACAGATGATGTGGCCAAAGCTGCTAGCAAACCTGGTAGTGGCTCAATCAGGCAGTGTAGCAACCTCACTTCTGTTTTCCTCTCCCTAAGCATAAACAAACAATACTGACAATAGGCCAGAGAAGGTGGGGAGGGAAAAGCTCAGAAGGAAAGCCGGGGGACAAGAGGTGTGCACACCCACATGTGGTCTCACTTTTTACACAGGCCCACTCTATTTTTGAAATAGACCAGCTCAGTTGATGGCTCTTTTGTTCTGGCATTAACCAGACAAATTTGGCTCCTGATCCACACCCTCATTCACTCTATTTCTATGCCAGTGGACTTACCTATACTTTGAACCTCTGTACTTTAAGAAAAGCCCAGTGTTACTGAAATCAAATGCTTATATTCATACTGGCACACTTTTTATTAAAAACTTCAAAACCTCAGACACACAGCACGCATGAAAAGGAAACAATTCACTGTGTATAAATACAATGGAAAAGACTGCCTGAAGTCTACTAATCAAAGCATGCCATAAAGGAATCAATAATTGTGGTGAAATACAGCAAAATAATTCTGCCACAAAACTTTCAAGGCTTAACAAACTATAGTTTTCCAATAAACTACATATTTTTTCAAACGTTGATAGGACATATCAACAGAGACGAAATTAGAATTTTGAAGTGACGCACTAGAAAGATGTTAGAGGGCAGAAATCTGTTCAGTTTTTGAATGTACTTGTAAGACAGCATTACTCAGTGTAAAACAAGATGGGGAGGAAAAGGACATACCTGTTTTATTAGGACACTTCTATGTGGCTTGCATCTGGTGCTGGGTTGTTGATGATTTTTCTAATAATCTCCCTATATATACAAGTTCCACGTGTACTTGGAGATCTAGCTCTGTTTCCTTGATTTAGAACAAAAGACCACCTCAGGGATCAACCAAATCAAATGGGAAAAAAAATAATGGATAACTAAGAGCATCCACTGCAGTCATTTCAGAGGACAGAGAAAAAAGGATATTTTTATTTGTTTTAATATATTCTCTTTTCAGTAGATCACAAATGAATTTACCAATTACTTTTTTTCTCTTTAATTTAGATGTTTCCAGATAATTTTCATTATACAACTATATCTATAGCTGTACCTGTATACAGTATATAATAGTAACTGTAGTACGGAAGACTATGTAAATTCATGGATTATTCTGCTGATGTTTTAAAGCTTCTCTTTCAGAAGAATTTTATACTTGATCAAGGAGAAAAATAGACAAATGTGTATTCTAATATTTGCCTTCTGGAGTTAATGAACTGATCTGTAAGTATCACCACATACTTCTTAAAATGTAAACACATTTACATTTGTTAGATTTGTTATAGAGCCATTTAAGTTAGGCTCAGAATTAACAGATCATAGCTGGTAAACAAATAGCTTTTGGAATCAAAATATAAATAGAAGACTAGTTCATGGATTTGCTTATTCTATCCTGTTAAGACAAAACTTATGAGTCTGCACACACATATAAATATATTCCTACAAAATAGAGTCTTATCTTCTCATAGGCCTAAATTATAGTCATGGCTACTAAATTAGGGATAATAGCATCTAGCCATATGCAACTTTTCAACTCTCCATAATATTAGGGGACAAAAATCAACACGTTTGAATTATAGTTTATTTTTCCCTTCCAAAAAATTCAAACTAGGATCAAAAGGTTGTGTCCAGAACTAACTGCTATTAAGTTCCAATTCAATGTCATTTAAAGTAATGTAACCACACATTTGGTATTTTCAATAGGAAGGTTAATTAGTTATTGTGCAGACTGCCTGGAACTAAAGCACTCTGCTCCTAACTTGTCCCTTACTGGACCCAACATGCTAACTGCCTCATCTCCCGATTCTGTGCAAAAAAAAAAAAAAAAAAATATATATATATATATGTATATATATATATATAATCTATTTATGATTTTTAAATATATACAGCCAACTCAAAAAGCCCCCAACAAACCCATCATCACAGTCCAGCTGAAATCTCTGTAGTCAAAGGAATAAGTTAAATGAGTGAAGGGAGAATGCGAAGGCTGACAAGGCCACAACAATGGACAGATAAATAAAATTCAAGTCCCAAACTTGCAAGTATATGAGCAGTGAGATAACTCATACACTCCAGTAACCTATTTTCAACTAACAAGTCCTGCTCAAGACATGAAAATCAAATCAAATCAGTTTCTGAGCCAAGTGTACGTCTAAAACATACACACATACAAGCCATACAAGCAATTCAAACGAGGCTCTTTCATGATGCAACAATCTAGGCTTATGGCATTATTTCTATTTTTCTCTATGTCTCAACGCAGCCCTCACTTCAAATCATTCCCAATCACTTTTAACAGTGCCTCTCAAAGCTCGCCAGTGCAGACACAGGGAAAAGTAGTGACTAGCTAAAGAATTTGATCACCACTTCACTCATTTATGAGAAAGTCAGTTACCACCAAGTAAAACAAAACAAAAATTTTAAAGCTAGTTTTTATAACAAGTATTTTATTCTGCTCTAAACTACTCCTGCATGTCCTACCACTGTACCCTTTTGGAATATCCACTACAATAATGTGTGTAGGTAGATGGTAGGAGAAAAAGCATTTTTCACAAGTCAAACAAAAGTGCTGAGGCCATTTACAATTCAAAGATTCAAAATTTGAGGATAGTTTACTATGTCAGACACATCCAAGTTCCAAGAGTGGGCTGGAGTTCTCTTAAGGTAATTTTCCAGAGGAGATGTGGCATCTTCTGTGATGATGGATTTTAAAATGTTTTCTCCCCCTGAAAACCTGATGTGGTTTTGTCACTATCTCAGAACTGAAGAGTAATCCACTCCTTTATAATAAAAGAAAAAACATGAAAGAAAATAATGAAAGGTTCATTTTGCTATATTTAACTGTGTGATTCTCAGGTATCTGGGCTCACAAAAATTTTGTGAACAGAATTCTACCCTCAAACTCATTCTTTATATGGTTTCATAAGCTGCTTAACCAAGCTGGTTATGTCAGCTAAATGACTAAGGTAGCACTTGGATATTGCATCTCCACTTAGTCTCACCTCAGAGCACCTAAAAAGTAAGATAAATATATTATGCACCTTCATTATTTGTTAGTTCTTGGGACTACCTAAATCAATCACATTTTAATTTCCGCCCTGTTTTAAAGGCAAAGCCAGACAGCAAATCATTAAATGTTCAAGCTTTATCAGTAGCTCAAGTACTTAATTTCACACTTGCAGTAGGATTTTTAAATTTAGCGGTCCAGAGTTTGAGCTTTAACACAAGAACACTCCTCTTGACCTCTCTATGTCTGACAGACAGAAATGCTAGCTTTCTTCCTTAACCCTAAGTATTCCTACTGGGGAGTCCCAATTGGAGCAATATTATCTTTCCACCTTTTGAAGTTTTGGTTATAACTGGTTAGGCCAATGCCTGCTCCATGGAAAGATGATACAGAACAAAACAAAAGATTCCATCTTCATCACTATAATATGATGACATCTGAAGAACAAAAAATGTGAAGGTATCTCTTTAGAGAAAATGTTTGTGTATGATGATAACAAATGTGGAACCATAACACATTCCAAAGCACCAACAGCAAAGGCATTACAAATTCATGAAATTAAAAACAACAACAACAAAAAAAAGTGCTCTTCAAATCCAGTGACAGAAAAATACCCCTCTCCTAAAAAGAGAACAGACTGTCATTAGTGTAACATGGAGAGCTGGCTTTCCAGTGAATTTTACTAACAAACACACATGAAAGGTTACAGACTTGAGTGAAACTATTCAAGGAAGATAAAAGCAAAAAAGCTGACTGATATGTATATCTTTACACATTTCTCAGGTGAACTCTGACACCTTCATTTCTTCGCCAAACTGCTGTGCTATTTAATTTTGAGCAGGTATACTCTGGTGGCTCATCCTAACTCTTTAAGGCTCCATTCATTCCATATATATAAGTGTGTATGTACATATATATATATATATATATTTACAACATGTATTCCTAAGACAAAAGGAAGTGCCACTCTTGTAGGAGAAAAAGAGGATAATCAGCTACAGATGTGAGACCAGGGTTTCCACAAAAGTTAGCATAACTGCAATTTTCATCTTTTGGTTTGGCCCTGAGCTGTTTGTTGCTCCCGCATCAAATAGAATTCCAAATTCTCCTCAGGGAGAGGAAAGGTGAGGTGGGCGACAGTAAAAGAATATGCAGTGCACACTGCCAACCCGGGAGTTTTTTCCTTACGAGGCCTGACAGGTAGTCTTCCCCAATTCCATGCTAAATGCTTGAGAGTTCTTTTCTGTTTCCAGCAGCTCATCAAAGATCTCCCTTAAAATAAAACAAACAAAAAATAAAACAGGAAATCCAGTGAGCAGAACCAAAGGATACACATGAAAAAGCAACAGAAAATAGATACTGACAAAGTCTGCACAATCCAATTTGGTACCTCAATTTTATTAAATAAGCAGCTTACTTGTCCAATTACCATCTTGATTCTTGAGAATGGGGGGAACTAGCAATAGTTTAGCTTTAATAAAAATGCTATGTAGTTCCCATTCATATAAATCCGATCTACTAGATGATGAAACTGGAAGACCAAAAAGGTTTATAATAGGACAGCTTCTATCATAAAATAAATTGTCCTAAATTCCATACCTAGATGCTACTGTGTGATGAGTAATGTTGAGTTAGGAGAGAAAATACTCTGGACTTATAAGGAAATATCAAGAGATAAGCCCTAAGCAAAGATAACAAAACCCCCAAATTGTCGACAAATCAACTGATGGGAACATTTTATCCTCAAAGGAAGACAAAAGAGTTTGGGAGTTTTTTTTTTTTTTTTTCTTTTTTTTCTCTTTTTTTTTACTGACTGGTAACGGGATCGCAACCCTCAGTGTCGCGCCCGTACCAGGGACCGGCAACGGGATCGCAACCCTTGGTGCTGCGCCCACACCACGCTCAGCCAGCGAGCGGGAACCGGTCTCCACATGGGATCCGAACCCTCCATGGGAGGGTCGCCGTGCTCCCACGCAGCGCACTCTCCAGTGCGCCACCGGGTGGGCCCTGAGTTTGGGAGATTTTTTAGCCCCTTCTTTTGGATCTGGCAAAGTTTCTTACTTGTGCATGTAAAAGAAGATGTAACCACTCCGATCCCGATCACTCTGCACTGCAGCCTCTTGGATTTTAGATACCTCCAGGTCATTATAAGTAAACCACGCCTGCTTCTTAATGTCGTACACATCACTAATGTAATGACCTGAAACAAACAAAATCTTAAAATTGCGGTTTTTAAAAACATCCTGGATTTTTCTCAGATACAGGAAGATTGAGAAAGACAGAAAAAGCCATCCCACCCACCTTTCCCCCAACAAAGTTTCTAAAAACCATTAATAAAACATGTGCAGATAATTAAGTGTGGAATATACTACACTAGGACAATTTTTTTGATAAATATATTTTGCTCAGGGGAATTTAGCTCATTTATGAATAGAGAAATCAAAACAGCATTCCTATTAACACAATTCACATTCAGTGTGATCAAAGAAAAGATTCCAAAGTTTTTCTTGATGCACTAAACTTATACTTCACAAAGCAAGGCAAAGAACAATATACTAAGGAGCAAATGATGGCTATTTCATTTATAAATTGCTGAAATCATGACGTCCACTTACCTGAAGAAGAGGTGGAACCAATGTGACTGACAACACTGATGAGCCTATAGGAATGAGGAAGATTTCCTGTCTGAAAAACAGAAGTGGGAATGACTTTTAACTATTCATTTGAATAAAAGCAAAATATTGAATTTAAACATTACCAAAACTGACACGGCTAAGCTTCAGTGTGCAATGTAGTCAGACTCAATAAAAAAATCCTTTGACACAAGAATTCCACCCCCAAATCAGAATTTATCCTAAGGAAATAACTCAAAAGAAGAAGAGAGTATATATATCAAATTATTCACTGTAACATTATCTATAGTAATGAAAAGGTTGGAACTAATATTATACCTAATAATGGTTGACTGGTTAGTGGTATATCAATTCAATACAACATTATTCAGTTATATAAGGATCTGAACCCTTGACCTTGTTTCTTGGTGTTATCAGCACTGAATTCTAAACAAGCGAGCTAACTGGCCAGCCCCATTAACTTTGTTTTTGAAACCTATGTGAGTGCATATAACAATTATAGCTCTATAAAAATAGTTATATTAGTGGTTAGGTATTGGATAATAGAACAAAAAAAGAAAAAATGAAAAAGAGTTGCTGTTGCTGTAGGGATTATGGGTGAACTTCTACATTTTAAATATTTTTAAAAATACTATTAAATTGTTATTAGCAAAAAAAAATAAAGAAAATGGAACTTGAAAAGTGATATTAATGCACTGTATGCAGCACTATAAGGTAAAAATTTTGGAAAGGAATACAATATAGATATATGTAAACCAGAAACTATTAAAATGTTCATAAAATTTGATGTAGTAATTTACTTCTGGGGGGTTATCTTAAAAAAGAAAATTCAAAATATGGAAAAATTTGTATCACACACAGTCTCTCAATGTATTATTTATTACAGTGAAAAAATAGAAGCCAACAAATGCTCAATGTTAGCTAAAAATTAAATAAAATATTGCCTGATAACGTGCTTTATTAAAAAATAAACAAAATAGAATGTTCATTTGAAGGAATATAGTACAGACATTAAAAAGAAAAACCCTTAAAAATAATTAGTCTTTAACAAGCAGGATAAAATCTCTACTTATATTATGACTTTTTAAAGGCATATGTGGAGGTGAGGATGACAGAAGAATATGTCAAAATGGCAACAGGAGTTGTGTTAGGATAGTGGAATCCTGAGTAATTAAAATTTGAGGGGAAAAAAGCAATTATGTGAGGAAAAATAGGGGCAAAAAAAGAGTCCAAGGTGCTCTAGTTAACGTCATTAATTCAACAGATTTCACTGAGCAACAAGCAACTGGTTTTGGTATTAATATAAAGATAACGTGGTTATTTGGTGGAACTAAAGGTAACTTAAAGTACATACACCTTTACTCAGTTCTTATCTAACATGCACATAAGGTGGTCAGGATGTATTTCTATTTTTGTTTTGAATCTTGTATGTAAGAAATGAAGAGCAACGGACAAGAGAAAATTAACACTGTTTCATGGTTACGGAAAGGGCAGAAATGAACCTGCAATGGACACTGAAAGTGGGCCTTTGAAGACAGAGATCAGGAAGAGTAACACTGACAATCTGACTAATTCTATTCTGGGATAAAATACTACCTCAGCGTTTCTTTTCAGTTCCTCAGCTTCGGCTTCTGTGTACTCCATATCAAAAACATCCTCATTTCCAGAGTCCTCATCAGAACCCAATGCATCCAGAAAAGAGCTGTTAAACTCTGAAGAACACAAAGATAAAATCTTATAAAAGTTCTTGGTATAGACATAAGAAATAAAATTAGGAAGATGGATTAGCTTGAGATACACATTTTATCACCCTAAGAAAACATAAGACAGAATATTATTAGGGTTCCAATTCACTTAGCCCACTCTGGAGAATAACACTGCAGACATGGGTATCTGTAAAAGAAATGTTCATTTTTCTTTTAAATATATATATTTGATAAGGGGATCTAACACTCACAATAAAACAAAACTGAAAAAGAAACTATGATTGTAAAGAAAACTCAATTTCACTAAATTTTATATCATATAAACTATATGTTAGACTTGAAGTACTTAGTGCATATCGTAGGTGCCACTAGCAAATATAAATTATCCTCATAGAAAAAAGACCATAAAAGGTCAATATCCTTTTGTTTTCTTTAAATATTAAATCATTTCTTTAAATGGAACAACAACAACAAAAAAGGAAATTCAACCTTTAACTCTTAAATTCCACCTAAAATACACTAAACAAACAAATGCAAGATCCATTATTTCTTTAATAATGTGTTTCTACTGGAAGAATCCATCTTTACTAATGGTTTTAAATAAAGAATCCCAGGGGCATTTGTACATAAGTGGTTATTTGCTTTAAAATATAATTAACTCCACTAAAATTACATTATAGGGTTGTTTAAAAGACATGAACACCTAAGAATGAGAAGAACAGGAAGAGACTACAGCACCAAAATTCTGGAAGCTGGAAATACATGAGTGACTGACTCAGCAGACCTAAGAAAGCCAAAGCCATCTCTCAAGCCAGCAATGGAAAAATTGAGAACCAATCCAATTTACATCACTGAACTTTCAAAGGGAATATGACACTGAAGTACCAGGTACCTCTGAAATTGGAGGCTAAGAAGAGAATAAAATAAAGATTGTGTGAAAACTGTTTAAGAAACAGACTCCTACATCCACTGCCCCAACTTTTTGCTGCTGGGCAATGACAGAAGTCTAGATCTTTATTAAGTGGGAAGGGTAAAACAGACTGGAAAACTCTTCTTTAGGAATCTGACTAATCTAGTACCATCCCCCCCAAAGTACCACCTTATAAAACTCAAAGTCGTCAAGTCCTATCTATTCATGTGCTTAGAGGTTTCAATCATCTTTTTAGTTCCTCATTCTTAATCATGAGCTAACAGCCAATGATCACTAGATATAGAGGAAAGCCTCTAACAAGGAATATAAGAATACATGTAAAGACCATAATAAACACATGGGATAGAGCAATTTGAAGCAATATTCCAGTAGAAGAAAACTCCAAACAAACAAATGAACTATATTTAATATCATCAGAGTTCAGATGCTATTATTCCAATCAAACAAAAAAAACATCAAATAAAAAAGGAACATTCACAGAACAAAAGAGTTCCTGAAAATTAGAAAGACGATAGTAGAAATAAAAAACTCATCAGAAAGTCTGGAGTTGGAGATAAGGTTGGAGAAACTTCCCAGAGAGTAGAGCAAAAATGACAAAAAGATCAAAAAAACTGGAAAGAAGAGATGAGAAAATTAAGAGAACCAGACCAGTAGGTCTGGACAATAGGAGTTTCAAAAAGAGGAAAGAAAGTGGAAGTGAGGAAATAAGCAAAGATGTCTTGGAAATGAAGAATACAAGTTTATAGATTAAAAGGATTATTAAGTGTCCAGCAAAACGGATGAAACAGACCCACATCAAGGCACATCATTGTGAAACTTCATGAGAACAGAAACAAAGAGAAGATCATATGAGCTTCCAGAGGGGGGGGAAAAAAGAGGTCACATCAGGTTAAAGAAAGGGTTTAGACTTTTCATATAACAACCCTGCAAACAAGACTTCTTTCACTGCCCAGCCGCATGAATTTGAGGTGAAGAATACTTTCAGAATGACTGCAAACCAGGAATTCTATATTCAGCCAAACTATCAGTCAAAAATGAAGGTGGAATGAAATTTGCAAGGTCTCTAAAATATTTGTTGTGCCCTCTTTTACAAGGAAACATTTGGAGGATGTTCTACAACAAAACACAAGTAGACCAAAAAGGAGATATAGAAAATGGGAGATTCAAACAAAGGAGATAGTAAAAGGGAATCCCCAGAATGGTTAGGTAGATTTCAGGATATCTGTGCATGGATATAGAAGGCAACCAGTTCAGATTGTAGCAATGTGACCTGAGACAGCCATCATTACCACCAACGTACTTTTTAACCTGATGACAGAATGCGTGGGTGAGCCTAGCTTGGATTGGATTCATCTTTGTAACTTTTGCTCAATCATATGCCAGCAATCATTTCCCTGCACTGGCCAACTGCCAAAACCAACCAACCCCCACCACCACACCCTACAAAAAACCCCACTATATGCCAGTGAAATTCTTGCTCTCTCCTCCATGCTCTGCTTACTACATCAGCTGGGAAGACTCATTTTGTACCACCAAAGTGTTCTGTTCTGATCTATTTCTGAGAGCTCAAGAAAGACCAAAGTGATTTTAGAAAGAAAAAGTAGAGTTAGCCCAGTCCTTGTGATTACTTATCTCTGTGCATTTCTACCAGTACCCGGTCCACATATTAGCTCCATCAAATGCCATGACCTGGTGAATCTTATGTGGCTTAATACTCACTCATGACCCTGCCCACTGACTTCCCCAGAGTGAGCTCTTAAAAACTCATGGGGAGGGCCGACCCCGTGGCTCACTCGGAAGAGTGTGGCGCTGGTAGCGCAGCGCGCTCCCACCGTGGGTTCGGATCCTATATAGGGATGGCCGCTGAGCTCACTGGCTGAGCGCGGTGCTGGGTGACACCAAGCCAAGGGTTGTGATCCCCTTACCGGTCACAAAAAAAAAAAAAAACTCATGGGGAAACTGAAGCCATATTATTTTTTCCTAGAAGTCTTAACAGTGGCAATATGACTCTTTCATTAAATAGATAGATTGCTCTTGCTGTTTAATTTTTTAAAGTTAAAAAATATATTGTTTAGGATACAAATACAGATGGTGAAATCATAAAAAAAGGTAAGCTAAAGACGAATATAAATGTTAGAATAGTGGTTTCCTCTGTGAGGGAGGGGAAAGGAAGATAGACAGGGAACTTCTAAGGTTCTATTTCTTTACCTGGGAGATGTTCAAATTTGTTATTTTATTAAAAAACACATTTTATATGCTCTTCTATGTATGATACATTTTACCATTTTAAAACAATGTAATTAAAATGATCTCCACACCTTGAAGACTTAACTCTGTAGCTCTTTTGAGGTCATCATCTTCTTTCTGTTCCCAAGCCTCCTAAAGGGACAAGAACAAAAACTAAGGTATTTAAAGAGGTATTGATTAAACCTATTTAATGAGGATAAAAATCAGTTTCTCTGGAAGTGTCTGCTGATAATGCTTTCTACATCCTTACAGATGTTTGAAATATGGCCTTTTGAGGGGTGTAGAGAAGTTCTTTACTTTTTCCAACACTGTCCTCTTTACACACAACCTTGGGAGTTAAAAAGACTTAAATACTGTTTCCTTTTGTCAATGACATTTGGTTTTGCCAACCACAAACCACTCAATGTGACATTACGACATAATTCCCTTTCCTCTCTATAAAAAAATGTCTGGTGCAGAGCCGAAACTTAGCAATTTGTTGTCTTTCCTTTCCCCTGATTTATAGCATTTCCCAATTTACATGGTATAAATACTCCCACTATGGCCCACTTAGAGCTACTCACATGACACTGAATGCAGAGTTGGGAAGGGGGTATACAGTCTGCTCACATGAGCTGACAGTGAGCCAGCTCTAGCTTACCACTCACCCTAAGTATATGACAACAAGATGAACAATATTGGGGCCACCCGGTGGTGCACGGGAGAGTGCGCCGCTTGGGAGCGTGGCGGCGCTCCCGCCAAGGGTTTGGATCCCATGTGGAGACCGGTTCCTGCTCACTGGCTGAGCGTGGTGCGGGCGCAACACCGAGGGTTGCGATCCCGTTACCGGTCAGTAAAAAAGACAAAAAGGGAAAAAAAAAAAAAAAAGATGAACAATATTTCCATAAGATATTTTTCACGGGTTTCTATTTTTCTTCTTGCTAAAGAAACCAAGGCACACAACAGATGCTTGGTTAAATACTAAATGAATGCTGTGGCTGTTATTTTTCTGATACATAGAAGGATCTCTTAGAAAAAAATAGTACCTTCAATATCTTCTGAAAATGTCTCAAACTAGATGACTACTTTAATTATAAACAGGAATAGGGAAATGTTGACTATAAGAAAAAATTTCCCTTCTCATCTTCAGAGAAAAGGTAATTCACAAATGATGCATGAATAAAGAAAAACTGTAATTTAACCAGAGTTATTTTACACTTAAAATTTTTAATTTATTTGTTATTTTTTTCAGAATGTCTATTCTGAAACTGAAAGGTAAAAAGATTCCCTTTTAGTTATTAACAGAATGATGCAGGTACACTAGAATAAACACACTTCATCTTACAACCCTAACCTTACATCTGAGAAAAACAGGATAGTTTTAACTGGGTCAGCTGACAAGAAATAGGTGCTGAATTTTTTCTTTTTCTGCACTATAAGAAACTCTTGCTAAGAAATCAGACCTTGGTCTTTTATATTATAAACAAGTTCTGGGCTGGCCGGTTAGCACAGTTGGTTAGAATATGGCCTTGTGACACTAAGGTTTGGTTCCCCATACTGGCCAGGTGCCAAAAAACACAAATAAAGTAAAAATTAAAACCAAGTTTTCTAAAACAAATGACTACTACAGTATATGTTATTTGTAAAATAGTTTGACACACATATATATTGATGACAAGATAGCTAGAGTAGTATACCTTACAAATAAATGTATATAGAACATCTGGTTCTGAAATGGCTTTAAAGTGACAGTTCTCAATCTTGGCTTCCCATTAGAATCTTTGGGGGAAGCTTTTAAAAACCCAGATTAAAAGAAAAGAAGAGAAATCCAGATGCCCAGATCATACCCCAGATCAATCATATCAGAATTTCTGAGGGGAATTTTAATGTGCAGTTACGACTGAGAACTACTGGTACAGAGAAATAAGATTTCTTTTTTTTTTTTCAGAGATGACCGGTAAGGGGATCTTAACCCTTGGCTTGGTGTTGTCAGCACCACACTCTCCCAAGTGAGCCACAGGCTGGCCTGAAATAAGATTTCTTAATCTGATTATCTTTAAGCATTAAAACTGTGCATTCTTTCCAGGGAGTCTTTGTAAATTTTTATTAACACAACTTGGATTATACAGGATTAGATGAAAACACTATCATAAGTCAGATACCTCAGGTGATTACAACAGTGAAAATCAACCAGCATAAAGAAGTAAAAATTGAAGAATAGATTACTAATAAACAAAAGAGCAGACAAATGTTCTGTTATTACTAAAATCTGAAAATTAGGTTTTAGATAATATTTCTGAGAATTTTATATTCAAATAACTCATAGGAAAAGATTTATATTATGAGAGAATGATGAAAACAAATACAATGCCTTCAAATATTGATTAAATCATGGTGATACATACTGGCTGTTTCTACAGCTTGAAAAATAAAGTTGGACTGGGAATAATCTCTAATCTCCCATCTTCCATTAGCATGCAATGAACTATAGTAATGGAAGGTAATGAACAATATATTTTGTTGCATCTGGATTTTCAAAAAAAGAAAAACTACCAATGTAGTTTCAAACCCAAACGGGGCCCCAAACAAGATTTTTTTTTTTGGTGCACCTATGTAAATCACCTGGAACAATGCCTGACCAACAGTAAGTGCTCAACACATATTAGTATTTCTTGGGAAAGATAGATATGAAGAAAGTAGTGACATAAATATCCTTACTTGCTCTTGAAGGCTCTGAGCCAATGCCTGCTGAAGCTCTTGCTCTTCCCTTTCTCGCTCCATATCATACTGCTGGAGCCAATCAACCTCTCCCTGAGATCCTTCTGGAGTTTTGTTTTCTTTATTCTCATCACAGTCTTTAGTTATCTCAGTAAAACTGGCAAGATCTGAGGAAGCAGAACAAAACATTACTTTGGAAAAGCCTCTCTAATAAACTGAAAATTTTGGATTAGAGTGACATCTACTGGTCAACTGGTCAGAGAATAACTTACCCTAACCTCATCTTTAAGTTGCTTGGGTCATACAATTTCATCTTACTGCATCTATATCAGGGTCTCTCAACCTCAGCACCATTGATGTTTTGGGTGGGACAAGTTTTTGGTTGGGGGGGTGGGGAACAAATCTCTCCGGTGCACTGTAGAATGTTTAGCAGCATTCCTGGCCTCTACCTACTAGATGCCATTAGCACCCCCCCTCTGGTTGTGACAACAAAAAATGACAGACATTGCTAAGTATCTCCTTGGGGGGAGCAAAACTGCCCTTGGTTGAGAACCACTGATCTACAGCAATGGTTCTGAAACTTAACCAATCATCAGAAGCTAGTATGGATAAAGATGGGAAAAAACAAGTAGCCATATTCTTCATAGGTCACAGTGTTACATGACCAAGTACTGGAAATAAAGTATTGTTTACAATAAATGAAATAAAAATTAGGCTAAAATGTTTAGGCTAATATTGAGATTTTTCTCATTTATTACATTGTATGTCAACTGAGAGTGTGTTTTCACATTAATAATCAAACAAGTCTTGTATATATTCTAAATCAAATAAACTAAGTAGAAAGTAACAATTATTGCATATATGCAATGTATACATATGTTTAAAGCATTCATCTAGGGAGGTAAGAGAAAAATTAATCTTTCATTTCTCTTCTTGAGTCATGGCTAGTTGGAATAAACATGAGAACCATGATTTTGTTCTGGTTATTTGAATTGTGAGAGCAACAACATTTCATTATAATTTTTAGTATAGGTACGAGTGAGGAGAAGACAATTCTTTTTAAAAAATTCAAACGCTTTACCAAAGTAAAAATTCTCATTTTAACAAGTTAAGGAAACTCACAAAAAGAACTGAAATGGTTAACAAGAATTACCTTTATACATCCATTTTATATGGATTATTTTTAAGCTTTACCTGCCCTAATACTGTATTTTAAATGAGTACTTTTCTATAGCACAGACAACTCTAAAGCTTATAGCATCTTGGTTTTAGACTCTAAACCAGCAACTAGTTATTATTTTAAATAGTACTGAATTATTGAGTGAATATTTATCATTAAAATGAACTCTGAATATTAAGAGAGGAAAAGAAACTCGGGATTTACTAGGTGTAAAAATCCCAACTGTTTTTTAAAAAACAATCTTTCTTTCCTCCATTACTGGAAAAATAGCCCTTCCCATGGCCTGGCAGGTGCAGCTTTGAAGCCTACATGACCGACCCTGCCTGTCCCTCTGGTCTTAGTTTACTGGACTGAAAATGAATATTTTACTCAATTAATCAGATTATCTCTTTTGGAAATTTGGAACCAGGACATACAAAGTTAGATAATGATAAGCATTTCAAGTGGAAGGAAGATTTGGGATTGAGGCTGCTATTTTAGGATATAAAGTATTATCACTTTTATTATTAAAACATACTAAAAAAAGGTAACAGAATTATTTTTCCAATAATTTCAGCACTCAGTATATCAATGTACCTCAAACAATCCCAGATTATACTAGTAGTTAATCCATGTGATAGCAGAATTAAGGATGTTTATTTTGAGATGTTAAAATCAACATACATTTATTTGTATTTAGGACAAGATTATCAGACAGATACAAATGACTTAAAATCTATGGGGACAGGCATAAAATCTTTTGTGGCCGGCCCGGTGGCGCACTGGATAGTGCGCCACTTGGGAAGCGCAGCGGCGCTTCTACCCGAGGGTTCGGATCCCACATACAGACCAGTTCCCGCTCACTGGCTGAGCAAGGCACGGGAGCAGCGCCGAGGGTTGCGATCC